GCTCGTTAATTCTTCAATAGTCTATGTACATTTATAGAGATCTATTATTTTTCTTTATAAATAAAATAGAATCTCTTGCTGGAGGTTTTGAATGGCATATTAAGTTTTTACCTAAATTTTCATAAATATATTCTTTTACTATAGCCAACTTATTTTGTCATAAGTTATAGATTGATGCAAATGGTGGTTGAGCTCCTTCTAGCAGATCAATTGAACAATTATAAAGTCAATGTGTTGAAAGAATATCTACATTATTCTTTTCAAAAAAAACCTTTAAAATCTTGATATTGGTTAGGAATGCCACATAACATCTTCTCACTATCAGAAATAGACATGGCATATATAGCAAAAGATGATTTTTTTTTGAAGCATGTATAAAAACTCTTGTTCCTACAAGTAAAGGTTTGGATATATTAAACTTATGTATTTCTACTAGACTAATGGGATTTTGGATTAAATCTTTAAAAAAAATAAAAAAATAAAAAAAATAAGATTACAAGAAATCCAATCTATTTAAAGATTATATTTTATTAATTATAATAATTATAAAATAAATAGATTGGAAGGATATCTTATCACATTAGATATTACAACACTATTATGATCTTTAATTGCTACATCCAAAGGAACAGTCTCATAGATAATATCTCTAGAAGACAATAAATAATTATCCATGACTTCTACACATATGGATTTAGTTTTCTTGATTAAAGATATTTTTTATTTTTTAACAAAGTTTTTATCTATAAAACAAGCTCAGGTCCTTGAATATAATAATGTAAAGACTTTGTGATTTTTAGGTCCTAAACACATATTTATTGTAAAACAAGATGAAAGATTTGATGAGAGAATAGGATCTTTACTTGGTATTGCACATGATTCTAGCGCATGGTCACTATTATAATTGAAAAAACTTGTTTTTTGACACATTATCTTTTTTAGCAATTATAGCATTCATTTTATGATTGCATTACTTCTTTGGATAATATTGAATAATGTGCTTAACTTCTCCACAATATTAGCAAAAACCTTCTTAACGACGTTGAGTCATTTTGTACTCCTTGAAGGATTTAAAACGCACCATATTAATTTACAATGGTTCTAACCTTAATAAATAAGTTTCAAAAAACTTAATAGCTGCTATTATTGTGTAGTAATATGACTATATGGTGAAAAATAAAAACATGGATGTTGTTATGGAAGAGCCTAATAGGAAGATATGATAGAAAAATAAGGATAAATAATAGGAAGGTAATACAAAGTTTAGTCTTAATATTGTCTTTTAGAAAAAGGCCTACTATTTACTTTGTAGAGGCATAAATACCTCAAATCAAAGTAAATGAAATAATTTATTAATATAGATATGTTTAGAAAGAAATTATCAATAGGTTTAAGTAAAAATTACCTTAAATTAGCAAATATTAATACATGGAGAGGACCAATTGTCAACCTAGATCGAAATCAAACTCTAAAGCATAAAACCACATACCTACAATGATTTTGGGATTCTTTGGTAGTTCAAAGAGTAGAATTTGAGACCAAACTTATAAAGAGATTTTTAAGCATTGGTTTTATGTCAATCAAGTTAATATTCAATTTTTGGGAGATTTTCAAAGTTAATAATATTCTTGGTTAGATTAGATTTTAAAAAATAAAATTATATTTACAAAATTGAGGGTCTCTTGAGTTTTGTGGTATGTATACGGGTGAATTTTGGATAAAGTGTTGGTATTTAGTTGTTAGTGTGTGAAAATTTTGAGGTCAATCAAACAATTAGATTAAAGTATATAAAGGTTTTTGCAGGCTAAGATCTCAAAAATTGAAATATGAGGGTTTGTGAGTATTTTTAAGATCTTTATCAATTTTTTGTTTGGATTGAAGTAAATTTTTTTTTGTAGAAACTAGACTTTATTTCCAATAGTTCAGATGTATTTTAGAAAAATTCAATGGTTCAAAAAAGAGATATTGGTACTAGAAGTTCAACATTCAAATTGCAGTAGGAAACCAATCAATACCCAAGTGGAATTTAGGTTTGATCTTCTATTTGATAAGTTCGATCTTTTTCAAATTTTGTGTGCTTGTTGCCAATTTAATTTTTGAAAGATGTGTAAAATCTTAAGCAAGATCAATAATATATTAAATAGATATTGAGAATCTAAATTATCCTAAGATTATGTTAATTTGATTAGGATTTGATTTAGAGTTTAGAAATTGGTTAGGATTTTTGGTTTGTTTAGAATTTAATTAGGATTTGATTTAAGATTTAAGTAAAGACTATTAAGTTTTTAATTAGGATTAAATTAAGATTTAATTGGATTTTATTTAAGGTATAATTTGGATTTTATTATAGTACTTCTTTTGAATTTCTTTATGATTTCTTGATGTTTTTTTCGTAATTTCTTTGAGATTCTTTGGATTTGATTAAAGCTTCATTTTCATTGTTAAGATTTAATTGAAGTTATTTAGGATTCTATTAGAATTAGAATCTTATTGTTGTAATATTCCTTCTATCTTCCATAATTAGGTGCTTGGTGCATTCTCAAGCAAGGCTTCATGTAATACAACATCGTCATTACTTGACTTGTTCCTCTCCAACTATTTGAAAAAGGTCAAGATTGTGGTTGATTGTGAATCTTGTTGTGAAGATAAGAGCTTGGTCTCTACTACTTATTCTTAATTACTTTCTCTAAATATGATTGTAAATACTTCTAGGAATGAATTCAAATTATATAGGAGTTATAAATCCTTTTTCATTAAAGGTGTAAATCAAGAGAGAGCACTTCCAAGTAGAAGTGTGCCTATGAACCCAACTTGAGTAAATCCATCAAGATATTAGAAGAGATGGAGCCTTAGATAAAACTTGACTTGTTGCAAAAATCCTCAAAATTTAGATCTTGTTCCATTAAACTTCTCAAGCATACTAATTCTTATCCCCGTTATACTTGTAAAAGCAAAACTTCTTAAATTTGGTTGTGAAGTTGATCTTCTAGCTTCCTTCAACTACACAACTTCTTAATGTAGACTCTGAACTTCTTTGATTGGCATAAGAATAGTACTTCTATGATTCATGTTGGAAATATGTAAAATTTCCATTCTTAAAGTGTTGACAAGTTCATAAAGATTTACAATAATTACAAATCTATTCTCACTTCTACTCACAATAGTATCTATAATCTTTCTTTCTATAGACAACTCAAACAAATTCAAAAAGTTAAATTAGAGTAGGATAATCTACAACCTCTAATATCAAATTAAAATTTCTACAAAAGAGAGATAATCTACTCTCTTTAAGAAAAAAATCATTGTTAAAAAACAAGATTATTTGTTTAAAAGTAGGTAGTCTACAACCTTCAAAACACAACAATAAAAGTAGAGTAATCTATTCATTTCTAAAATAAGATAGGAATAATAAGTTAGTACTCTTGTCAAATTATCAAGGACATAAATCTCGAAGAAAGAAAACTTCAATACACTCTTGTGTCACTCAAAAAGATTAAGAAATTACTCAAAGATGATGTAATATTAAATTAGAATAGCTATTGCCAAAGACAAAAAGACTAAAAAGTCTTAAAACAAGTATTAGGACTAAAAAGGCATTGACAATAGTGAAGAAGGCTTTACTCTTGCCTTCATATATACTCTCAATTAAGAGCTACATGGTGATGTCTTATAGGACCTTCAAAACGTATTGATTTTGCCAAACATATATCTTAACTTGCAAGGCAAGTTTTATATATATGCGCCATATAGTTAGCTTGTTCTACAAGCTACCAACATATAGTTAACTTATTGACCAAATTTCTAATTTATTAATCAACTACCAACACATATTTAACTATTCACTAAGTTACTAACATACTAATCAACTACAAATACATATAAAATCAAAGCAATATCTATGAAGCTTTTAGAAAGCTTTTTTAAAAAATATTATGAAATAAACCTATTTTTACTTACTTCTATTTAATCATATAGATAAATATTAAAATAAGTATATATATCTATGATACATGTAGGAATCCAAATCCAAAAAATACCATAATTAATTCTAAAAAAAATCTAAAAAATATTAGTGGGGCAAAAACTTTAGTTATATTTACACTCTTAAAAAAAATTTCAATAAAAATACCAAAGTTTGATATTTCATGTAAAATGCCAAAAACATTCAAAAGCTATTTTGATTTTTAAGGAGCTTTAGGGATTAATAATCTCTATATTAAGATGATAGATATATATATATATATATATATATATATATAGATGTGGATGTATTTATATAACAAATTTCCACTTCAATGAATTTTAGTAGTAACATTTTGATTTAATAATATATAATTTAATTCTTTATTAGAACCAATTTACCATACTATTGATCATTTTTTATATTTTAATGTTCTTATTCCAATTATAACATAAAATAAAATCTAATACTTTCTAATTCTTTATAATATTGTCTTTTGCAACAAAATGTAATAATTCTACTACAGTAGAAAAGACTAATCAATATAATATCTCAGAAATTTGAAGGTATCAATGACATTGTTTATTTCCATTCCTACACTAATGAATATTAGTTGGTTTTGTTTTTGAGCACATTAATGCATGTTCTTTGAATTGTGTTAATCAGACTACTGCACCATTGAATGGAATTCTTTATATCATTTTATTTGTGTTCATCATTTCTATATTAATTTAACAAGTGTGGCCATAACAGCTTTGCAAGTAACACCTATTTTGCGATCATTGTATAATGATGTTACAATAAACGATTTGTACGGAGTCAACTTGTTTTCCAGCTAAATGCAATCATTTAAATTGTTGGTCTCTCCATAAATGGGAAAACTAGAATCCTCTGTGAACGAGAAGATTCGCCAAGGTTTCACATGCAAAACCAAGGATTCGAATCTTGTATGATGTCTAAACCTGAAACACAGAGCAATGTAGTACCACAGTAGTTACACCAAACCATTCTTTCGAATGGCTTCAATCCTTACACCCTATTCGAAACTCATCCACCACAACTTCCTCCTGAGAAAAAAAATTTAGTACATCAAATAGTTGAAAGGTCAAACAGCTCAGATTCCGTTTTGGAACCCAGTAGAGTTCAATAAAGCTAAGAGAGTAGATTCTGTTAGGAGTTCACTAAGCTATGTAGAAACAATTCCATAGACCAGCCTAGATACAATGAACAACAGGTGCTGGAGCTCATCTCTGTATCCATCAGTTGTTAATGCAGGGAGAAAACTGAGCCAGTTCAAGGCTTCCTGTGAAGTCATTCCTGTGCATACAAACTGCTACCACCGCTTCAGGAGGGCCACTTAAGACACAGAGACTGTTTGTTGGTGGAGAAAATGTTTGCTCAAATAGTCTATCATGGCCTTTGAGAAAAATGAAAAAACATGAAAAAGAGGACATCCTCTATGGTTTTGACGAAAATGCAAAATCCCTAAACCCGTCTTATTCCACCCTTCTCAACCAGTCAGTTGTGTTGATTAGCCTTCACAAGCTAACTTGTAAGTAAGACCCTCAACAGGGTGATGAACTTAGTAAAGTAGTTCCGCATCGGTAACGCTTAGGGCTACCTGCAACTTGTCACAGAGTTCACATGGATGCAAGACTTCACAAGCAAGGCCAAGAATTACCGACTCTGGGTAGTTGCACCGGAAGATGGAGGTTAATGCTGGAGAAGGCCTCCATCGTCATCAATTTCACAAGCTGGGTCACGTCACAAAACCATGAAGTGGACATTGAGAGTGCCCATCACGACCCGTCAATATACTCTAGAATGTTGACAGATCGTGTTGAGCATGCCCAACATCCCATCATCTCCATCTTGGTCACTGCCTCTTCATGTTAGCTCCAGGCCTTTCGGGCTTTAAATCGTGATCTCCATGTGGGGATGCTATGGTTAATAAATCCTTCCTAATCTTCACTCTCAAACGTAATGCAGAGCGTTTAGTACAAGATTACAACGCGGGTGCAATGGTTCCTCTCAAGATTTGAAAAAACATAATAATCATCCCCAGCAGAGCAACTCTACAGGAGATGTGCTATCTCTTCGCCAAACTCAAAACAGGAAAGCATGCGAAGTATTGAAAAGAGAAGCCGAAAGCGCGTTATGTCTCAATCTCAGCACCTCAAAATGTAGCGGAATCACATCAATGACAATTCAGCAAGCAATAGGCCACCAGTGATGCGATTCGCACACACGGTCTCCAGCTGGAGAGGTATGGGTTTAACCATGTCATAATAAACAGGGAAGCTCCGAAGCTGGATTTAAGCGAGTCAGTCTATGTTCAACTATTCTTTAATAAATCAATGCGAGATGGCACGATCCTCCCACTGTTCCTAGGGGGTCGTGCTAAATCCGAGGTCAAATTCCGACAACTCAGACCAGGGTTCATATTATACATGCTTATTCTACGACCTGTTCATCCTCGCATGTAAAGCCAAAGCGATGGGATCGTAACAGTTTCGGCCTCAGCGTCGAAGACAAAGGTGGGCGTAGCAACCTTGTATGAAGGGTCCAGTCGCTCCCTTCATAGTATGCGAGAAAATTGAAATGTGGTCACTCCCTACGGTAACAGAATCTTGTGCGCACACTCACGCACAACTTGGGACATATCACTTGACGGCTCGGTTTCTCCGCACGTACAGAACCGCAACTAGTCTCGCACCTTTGTACTGTGCACAACGAAACCCCATCACAGAAAGTGCTGCGTGGTAGCTATTCCTCCTCTAAGTTCTATGTAACGTCGTCCTGCATGCACAGATATTTGTATGGTGGTGGGTTAGCGAGTCGACCCGTTAAACGCCTACGGGATGAGTCGTCGACGCAAAGAAGTGACACAGAAATCGAAACACATATACCCCAGCTTGGCTATTGCATGCATACAATTAGCACATAAGTTCACTGGGCGAGGGGGTGAGAGAGAGGAAGTTTCATCATGCAGGCTTGACAATGATACGGAATAAAAACCCCACACAGCATGCGACAATATTGAAGAGGCAGCGGAATCAGTACACCCGTTACTATTTACCAGGGGATACTCTGCATGCAATGGTTGAGGCACATGTTTCCGACAACTTCGAAAGGGGACACTCAGGGGATAACTCTCAACGCCATACTGTTGATAGACGAAGGCTTCAGGGAGGTGCCATTACAGCTGTACCGTAGGAGATGCAAGCAACACGACAATCGGTCCGAAACAACAGCAGAAGCGGGGCACCTACCTCGCTCCTTGATCCCAGTTCCCAGATCCTTTAACATGTCACGATCTCCTGCTGGGGGGATTTTCCGTGAATATGAAAAACAGGGCCAAAACCTACACACCAGGGATTAGCAATACTTTTACTACGTCGACTCACCGTCTACATACCCGAAGCTTGGAAAGTATAAAGCTAACGACGCATTGGTCCGCAACTGTGGATGCGTAACACAACGGATCACTTACTTGGGAACATATTCTCTTTACTTTGCTGCATTGTCACAATGCGCTTGATGGGTCAGCTCAGCCATCCTTGGCTCGCAAATGCCACCTAAACCATCCTCATGCACCCGATAGAGAATGCACGTGTGAACAGCGAAATTCAGCAGCCGCACAGCCTAGAGAATTTGGGAGATGTAAGACAAGCGGGCACACGATGACAAGCTAGATTCCAGACATCGTGGTTTGTCTTTTAAGACACCATCATGTCGCTTGTCTCCTCTTTTTCACCCCCTTCCTCCGTGCAACCTCAAAGCGAATCTTCGCCTTGTTGAGCCAGAAAACTACCGTATATGCAGCCAAAGAAACTGGCATGCTTGACTGGAGATCGTGGCTTCTGATTTCCCAAATCCTGTCTTACTGTGCATGTCATGATCTTCTGCGTGACATTCTTAAAATTTCTCAGGACCACCCTTGGAAAAGACAAAACAGTTTTCAGAATTCAGAATTATGAAGGTACTTGTGAGCCACTTGTTCAGCACCACAGGCTGATATGCATGAGAAACCTACACCTGTAGAAAAAAAATTAAAGAATGAAAAAACCTATTCATGCAATTAATCTCATTGGAGGGCATTCTACGGAATAAGGATGATTTTACTGGCGAACTGAAGTGTGATCTTTAATACTGGAAGAACGTGACGTGGTTTCGCACACCCGCCTGATTTTGCATTCTAATTTACCGTACGGACTGGGCTCCGGTGCCACCGAGACCAAACGAAAGACCTGCAAAGTTGACGTCACCCTTTCGTGATATATCTCAAGGCACAAGGAGACACAATCGCCTGGAATGAAATTACTCAGCATGCACCCAAAAAAAAACTGAGGGGCACATCTGCAAGTGATGGTAGCCATTGTTTAAGGCTCCAGATTCGCTCCCACTTAATTCTGAAAAGCATCCATTTGGTTGGCAAACTGCATAGGAAACGCACACAGACGCTAAAGACAAATGAATTTTTTAAAGCATTTATATGTAAAAACCACAAGAATTGTGGGTTGTCTTCATTGATGTATCCCCTTAGAACTCGGGATGCACGCGCTTGATTGCAGATATCCTACAGGACCCAACATGTGACAGACTTGCAAGACTACTTACTAGACTTGGTCATCACGGACAAACTCTGGTGAACAGTTGCTGAATTGAGGGCTGTTCACCCCCAAAGTTGCTGCGGGTGAATCAAGCAACTTGCCAAGTCTTGCGCAACCTCCAAGGAATTTTAAATAAACAAGTGAAAAGATGAATATGATCATCAATATAATTCGATCCCCGTTTTCTTGGGACACACATGGGATGGGTACTCTCGCAACGGAACTGTGCAAAGCTTAACTACGTCCATCAATCAGGGTTGGTGAGCATTGTGCGTACCTTTCTCCAAAATATCGGTCCAGGTATGTAGACATCCCGAGTTCTGAGGGAATTTGCTTCAGGGCATCCAGGATGTAAGAACTCAGCTCAAGAAAAGCACCGTCGTTGTCCAAGCACTGCAATGAATGAGACAAGACTGCGGAGACTGCAGGTTGTGACCATTCAGTCCGCCTTGACCTAAAATGGTTCAGTCTGCATTTCGAGATTTTGAGATTCCAGGTGTTGGTGCTCATCACCAAATCGTGACTCAAATCTGCCTCATGTTAAGCTGCTGTATTATACTATCTATTTACAGTGAACTTTTGCATGCGCACTGGGTGTAAGATTCGTATCGTGTTACGATATACGTATCTTGGCTGCCGTTCCGAAACACGAGATTGGTACCACCCGCCACATAATGCGACGCTTGCAAGTTTGTTTCCAGAATACTTCTCTTAACAAGAACCTGATCCTGAAGTTCGTCACAGACGATGCTACCATGACACACCACAGGAGGACAGAAATGTTCTAAGAAGCCTTCGTCGAACAAGAACTTTGTTTGTTGAGACCGATACGGAAAATCGGAAAAAGCAACATTGTAATGGATCAAGGAGCAGGCATTTCTGAATGAGAATCACGGAGAACGTTCTGCGCAACATGAACCCGTCGCAACTAGAGTAGGTTTGCATGCAGAAACGATCTAAAACATGGATTTTAGGATAACCTTCTGGATTATTTCAGCGAAAATCTGATGAGTGTAGACTCTTCAGAAATGTTCATAAAGAGACTTCACTGCATCAACCCTCTCCACAAGAGGAGATCATAAGTGCCCTATACAGAGCAGAAATGCATGGGAAAACATGAGGCTACACAAACATTTTCAGATAATACGAACTTCAGAAAGTCCAGCACATGGTAGTAAAACGACTGTGTAGGCACATGTACAGAAGACTTCTTATGAACTCTCCAATGAAACGCAAGTTAACCTTAAAAGTTAAAAGAAAACTTACCTAGGCTTGAACTTTAGCTGACCAACACATAGAAATTCCTACGTATCATGTAGCAGTTGCAAACTTGAAGACAATCCATAATAATAGGATCCCTTCGTGAGTCTGAGCATTTGAAGAATACAGAGTAATTAGTCAAAAAGAAATCTCCTAAAAGACAGACGACTTTGTGTGCCCCTTCGACGTGCTCCTCTTTGGATGTGAGCTCCCCTCCTTGCCAGACTTAGTTCCATTGGTCAAGAACTTATCCGTTCGCTCCTTAATCTGAGACTGCTGCAGTAAGAGACCTTTCTGAATTTGTGATTTGATTGCGGACTCCTGATGTTCAAGAAAAAAATCGTTTAGTTAGAATGCAGTACATACACCGCACGACATGCGAAAGTTGTGAAAACACTGCAACATTTCAAAAAAATTGTCAATATTTTTTCACATCGTATAAAACGTAGGAAAACTATGAAGATAAACTAAATATCAAATCTTTGCAGGATCTGAGTACTGGGGCATGGGAGGATGCAGGAAAAATATATATACCATGACATGGCACCTTTCCTCAAACTTCTCCAAGAAGCCACTAACCCAACGATCAGCATTTTCAACCCACTCATTCAAGTCTGCTACACTGGCCACCGTGTTCAGCTGCGCAAGAAACAGTCATGAGTGGCTTCATTCTCAGAAACATTAACCCTCACAGTTTTTGTACTCAAAACCAGTTCGAGTGATACGTAACATAATCTACAAACTACTACAGACAAAACGACTCAAAATGCCAAGACCAGTACATACTTGAATTCAGGAAAATTGAGAATGGGTCTCTACAATCAGTATATCCAGAGACAAATGAGCAATCGCGTAACGCAATTAGAATTCCCGGGCTCAGGTATTAGATTTGGTGTTCACAAGCGCATCTAGTCTTAAATTTGACATTCCAGGGACGCAAAACTGAGCGTGCACTTGCATAAGACCTACCTTTTGACCCACACGCTCCTGTTGTTCCTTCACCTTTTGACGCAACTTATTGATACCCACACCCACTTGAAGTTGTTTCTCCTGCAAGTATGAACAAGTTAGTCACTATACTTGCTTCATCAACCGTCTAGATATTTACACTGAAATCACAGAGCATATGATAATTTCCAGTTAGGAGGACAAAAAATACCTTAACATAACTGACACCAAGATCTTTGCGGGTATATCCGCGAGCCAAATTCCGCAAAACATACTCGTTATAATCTTTCACAATTCGCATGATGAGGTCCGAGGTTGAAACCCCATCAGTCCGCTTTGTCTCTTTGAACTTTCCAGCTTTTTTAACCTGGTAGTGCAGACATATAAAAAGAAAATTTAAAAAGATGTTAAATGCAGAACACACACAAGAACCTAATCGCATTGAAACAAGTACTAGGTAGTCATAGAACTATTTCAAATATGCTACTACCTACAACTAGAAGCAGAAATAACAGACTTAACAACAAGAAGAAATTCTCCAAGATCACTGTGGAGCCTTACAAAGTCGTAAACATCGTTGCCAGCTCCTGTTGCATCTGCATACCTGCAGTGGATCACAAGTTGACAGTCACACTGGTCACTAAGAAATTGTCACACTACCACACCATCATATCACAACCGTCGAGGCTGCTGCCTCTCTCCTAGAAAATTGGTGTTCTTCTCAAGCGTCTCATTGCAAACAAAGGAATACCAAAAGGTGAAAAAGACTCCTTCCAGATACGTACGGGAGAGCATCGTGAGCAACATAGTCGATATTGTGTTTATCAAGAAATTCCTGCGAAATCACCCACGGTGCATCTTGAACCACCTCATCCACCCACCTGCCGTGTCAAAACATATCAGATTCCGAACACTTCTATGTTCAGTACCTGCTCTAGCTCATATCTTCTTGTTAAGGTCGGTCATGTCAATATTGCTAAGCTGTTCATCAAATTTATGGTAGTACTATTACTAGTAACAGCAGCAGCACTATAAATAAACGAACAAACAATCAAAAGTATAACCAGATTCCTGCCGAGAAATACCAGCTGAGAAAGGCAGAGATACGCAGCACCATCATGATCCATTCTCTGAAGCTAAATTTTAGCCCAATAGGAGCTAGTATTTAAAGGAAAGCTACTTAATTCCCCACTAATCATCTATAAATACTCTTTCACCAGACGAAACCACTACCACTTAGACCAACTAGCAAAGCATTCTACATTCAAGCAAGCTAAACCATGAATTTTTCCCGAAAAATCGACGGTTATGATTGAAACTGACTTGCAATGTCGAAGAGATTCATAGCGCTCAGCTTCATTCATAACAGTTTTTCCTTTGTGCTTGTGAGTCAGAACGTCGCTGCAGCATCCAACCAGAAGGTAGACATTGGGGAACCTGCACCGAAATAATAAAAGATATTATGGAAATGCACCTTACTAAAGGTGTCAAAGACAATTATGGGCATTAAAATGTATCTGCATAATCCTCTTGCCATTTGCAAACAGTCTTGCGTCCGACACACAAAGCAGGGCTTCAAGACACAGATGATTTTAAACGGGCATCGATCCTGAATCCTTGTAACAATTTCTAATGTTAGTGCCATGCCTATGGACAAAGATTGCAGCATCGAAACAGCTGATGTGCTAAAAATTGTGGAAAAAATTCAGTAGATGTGCCGAAGAATGAAGTCAATCAACAATATTGTGACAAAACAGGGAAAAAATTAAAAATATAACACTACTTTCTCATCACCAATACAAATGTAGTACCAAATCATTTATTTCATTAAAGACACTACTCTCACGGTTGTTCTACCACCGCAGATTCCTCCAAAAACTGAAACACCAAACCAAAACCCCTGACAGAAACTCTTGTTAAACCCGCAAAGGAGAGGAGAGACGAAGGCTTCGAAACTAGAAATGCGACTGAAGTCAATGTGTTGACAACTGTTCTCACAATAAAATAAATCGAAATCAGATTCGTAGGGGTCTAAGGGACTGCTACATAGACTAGAAAACAATAGCGCCCATCCACGCATAGCGAAGATCTTAGAGTCAGACTGGTCAAGCAATTTTAAAATCACGAGAGAAGATCCAGCAACACTGCCGCCGACATTCGGTGACTCACAGGACTGAAAATCTCATGCACTGGAGTCGACACCTGGGAAAACAAAGTGTAAAGCAGATCATAACCAAGGACAAGATCGTATTTGAGGTCAAGAAAACGTACGACTTCTTTGCCTGCTCAAGAGATCGAGCGTGTCCAAAATGGAAAAGATCGTAAATCCCATCCGCATAAACTCGCACAGGCTTGTCAGAGGCAGTATCATCCTTAGAGGAAATAGGAGTAGGCAAAGGCTCATATCGTACAGGAGGAGGCCCAGGAGAAGAAGGAGGCGAACTCTCGAGGGACGACGCATCTGCATCTGCCTCTGCGAGAGCCTCCTCGTAAGCTTCATCATAATCCTCATAATACTCCTCATTGTCGTCCTCCCCCTCCTCCCCGGCATCCTTTCGCTCATTTACCTCCGTCGGACTTAGTTCCCGCTTCTCTTCTTCCGCTTCCTCCACCTTTGAATCTCCACCATCTCTATTCTCCGCATCCTTCAAACTTGCTTCAGCATTACCCGCCGCCGGCTTCTTCTTAGGCTTCCGCGCCATCGGCACACTCTCGTCCCCGAACGAATCTATAACGTCGTCCTCCTGTCGCCCAATCTCTCCCTCCGGATCCGCAAAGTGAAATCAATTTACACCTCCCAACCTCACCAAAAGCAAGGAATCTCCCCGCCGTCACAAACAGATCCTCCAAATCACAACCTCTCCGCTCCACACCTCATAACCTAACCTACGCCCGACCATGCGATCACTATTCCAACACCGACTCGCACTTGCACGAAGCAGATCACGTGAGATATAGCATGGTTTAATAAACAGATGCTTCGCCTCGGCAGGTACGATACAGGGAAAAAGTGGCAAACCCGCGGCTCCACTCTGGACAAGCGCAGAGCAACAGGGGATCAGCAAAAAGGCAAGAAAGAGGAACGAAGATACAATAATATCTGATCCCTGCCCATGTGTTGGCAGCCCCCGCTCACTGGGACCGAGACTGCGAGAGCTTGTTCCCCGCACCGGGCAGTAGGCCGCGACCACGGCACTGGCTCAGCAGCATCGCAGATCGCCGATCTCTCTGGCTCCTCCAACAACTCCTCTGTGTGCATCTGATCGAATCGCATTGCCACCCCTGCCTGCCAGATGGAGCCCCCCCCTCAACAACCAAACCCTAAAAATAGCCTCTCTCATTTCTCTCCATCATCACACTGAGTGAGTGAATGTGTCTCAAAGAGAGTCTGGCTGTCTGTCCCCCTTTGTTCGCTTGTGTTGCCACATATTCTCCTTATTGATTTTATTTTCTCGTTTACTCTGATTATTGAATCTGCTTATTAGTCGTGATGTACTATTCCGATTATGGCATTGATTGATCATGGCTTTGGACTTGCTGTGTATTAAATCTGGTACTGGACTATGGAATCCTTTAAACGAAACCTGTTTGAGGCTGTGTCAATTTTTTGTGCCCGTTTTGTCTTTTGTTTGATTATTGGGTCTCATTCTTGTTTGTGCAAGAGAAAACTTGTAACATTAAGTACAATAAAAGAATATGAATTATGCCAAATGTGGAATTCAAATGTTCAATTAAATGCACATTTTTTTTTAAGAATATATGTATGCATATGTGTGTGTGTATATATATATATATATATATACACAATAGAAAATGCTTGTGTGTTATAAAAAGTTATATTTTACTTTGGAACATTATATATTGATTTTGCAATAAAACATTATGATTTATGCTTTATTTGAAGATTTTAATTAGGTCATAGAATTAAATGCAATTCTCCTCTATGGCCAACTTCACATGTTTTTACTTAAAAGCTACTAAATTCTTTGATAACATATACTTTATACATAATTTTAGCATTCAAGTATAACTATTATATTTTTTATATATTTTATATAATTTTAATAAGAAGTATAGATTTTTTTTAATACAATAATTTTGAATGTATGATACAAAATAGCTATTGAAGGTGAAATCATAGAAATTTATAAAAGTTACAAAAATTATGTATTAATGTATGAATATTATTATATTATAAGAATTAATAAATTTAGATTAAATTTAGATTAATTTTATATACATTTATCAAATAGAATATGTTTAAAAATTATGTAATTAATTTTATAACAACTATTTGTTATAGAATAATTAAATAATAATTTATAATATTAAATTTGATCTTAATTTTATATTTTAAAAGAAATAGTTTTGATATAATTTAAAATTTATTTCTAAAAATATATAAGATATCAAAGATTTGTTATGACTTAGAATCACATATCTAATATAATTAGAATTGGATACTAATATTATCAAGTAGAATTTTTTTAATTATATTATTTATTATTAAAAAAATTAAATATCATTTATCTTAATAAAGATATTATATTTCTTATTTATATACTATTTAACATATACATTTTATTTACTTAAATAAATTTGATGCTACAAATATATTTACTATTCAATTCAACAAATATGAGTGAAGATATGTTAGATAAATAGTATATACTTCAAAAAATATTAAAAAAAGAAGAAGATAAAATTTAGAATTTTAGGTATTTCAAATGCAACATGAGGATAAAAATGCTTTTGTAAGAACTTATCTATACTTAAGAAGCCACCGCAAAAAACATCATACAAAATTGAAATTTGGCCTAAAAGTTTTATAGACTTTAGAAAGTGTCTACATTACTTTCTTATTAGAATTAATACTGCTTAGAGTCATGTCAATGTCTTTCTTGTATTCTAATCTTAATTTAAGATTTTTATCTATTTTATTATTTTTCTTTATAAAATAATTCTACTATTATTTTATTATTATTATTATTACTTCTAATTATATATGATTATAATAAAACTCAATGAAATACTTAAACTATCTTATAATTTAATATTTTTTGGAATGAATATATTTAAAAAAATTTAAAGGATATTCAAGTTTCATTTTCATGCACATAATATTAATTGTGCAAATCATTATGTTACATTTTTCTCCTCAAGTACAATGTCCATTCTAACAAACTATCATAAACATATTCATTTACCTCCATAGTTACTTATATAATTAGATAGAAGTAGGTAAATATAGATTAATTTCATAAAGTATTTTAGAGAAGCTTCCTAGAAGCTTTATAGATACAGTTTTGACTTTAGATATGTTTATAGGTCAGAAACTTGGCCAATAAGCTAAATACGTGTTGGTAGCTTGTGGAACTAGTTAACTCCATGAAATAGCTTATAGAACAAGCTAACAATTAGGTGCATACATGGATTACTTGCCTTGCAAGTTAAGACATGTGGCTAGCAAAGTCAACATGTTTTGGAGGTCCTATAGGACATTGCCATATAGCTTTTAGTTATAAGTATATAAGGAGGTAAGAGTGAAGCTTTCTTCACTCTTGTCAAGGCCGTTCTAGTCCTTATTCTTGTTTTAAGATTTTCTAGTCTTTTTGTTTTTGGCAATAGCCATTTTAGTTCTCTTCAATGACACAAAAGTGTATCCGGGATTCTCTTTCTTTGAGATTCATATCCTTGATAATTTGACAAGAGTGCTAATATATTATTTTTGTCTTGTCTTAGAAGTGAATGGATTATGCCACTTCTATTGTTGTATTTTGAAGATTGTGGACTATCCACCTTTAAACAAAAATCTTATTTTTTAACATTGATCTTTTTCATAAAGAGAGTGGATTATTGATCTTTGTAAAAAAAATTATTAGAAGTTGTAGATTATCTTCCTCTAATTTAACTTTTTGAATTTATTTCAATTATCTATAGAAAGAAAGAATATAGATACTATTCTTAATGGAAGTGAAAATAGATATGCAACTATTGCAAATCTTTATGAACTTGTCAATACTCTGAGAGTAGAAATTTCATGTATTTCTAATGTAAATTATGGAAGTACTATACATATGCCTATGGAAGAAGTTCACAATCTACGACAAGAAATTATGTAGTTAAAGGAAGATAGTAGATCAATCTCACAACCAAATTCAAGGAATTTTGCTTCTATAAATATGATGGGAGTAAGGATTAATATGCTTGAGAAGTTCAATGGAATGAAATCAAAATTTTGAGGATTTTTGCAAGAAGTCAAGCTCTATTACAGGTTACATCCTTCCCAATACCTTGATAGATTTACTCAAGTCAAATTCATAGTCACACTTCTATCAAGAAATGTTCTCTCTTGGTTTGCACCTTTAATGGAAAAAGATTCACGACTCTTTTATGATTTGAATTCATTCTTAGAAATGTTTATAGCCACATTCAAAGAAAGTGATCGAGAACAAGTAGTAGAGACCAAGCTCTTATCATTATGACAAAGATCATGATCATCCACCATATATGTTGTTAAATTCCAAAACCTTACTTGTAATGTAGAATGAGATGACAAAACACTTATCAATCAATTTTGATATGGATTAAAGAACAACATCAAAGATTTGTTATTAAGAATGTCGAAAGCAAAATCTTTGCAAAAATTTATTATTCAAGCCATTGCATGTGACAATCAATTATTTGAAAGTCATCAAGAATAAAGACTTGGCTAGAGAGAAACAAGTCAAGTAATGGTGGTAGCTCCAAAGTTTTCTAAAACATATTTATCAAGGTCAAAACTAATGTAAATTGATACAATATGTTTTAAACCTCTCACAAAGCAAGAAATAACTTGGCGTCATCAAGAGGGTTTGTATTATAGAGAAGTTGAGCACATTGCTCAACATTGTTTGAAGAAGCAATATAATTACAAAATAAGGAGTTGAATTACCAAAGAAATAATGTATTAGAAAATAAGTTTCTTTAGCTACAAAAGGTACCATGCACTTAGAATCATGTGCAACACCTAGTCAAGATTTTATTCTCTCTTCATCCTCTTCATCTTGTTTTATAATAGATGTGTATTTAGGACCTAAAAATCACAAAGTCTTTGCTTTATTAGATTTAGGAGCCTCAGCTTATTTTATAGATGAAGATTTTGTCAAAAATCAAAAAATATCTTTAATCACGAAAATTAAACCCATACATGTAGAAGTCATAGATGGTCATTCATTATCTTTTAGGAATATTACCCATGAGACTGTTCCTTTAGATATAGCAATTAAAGTTCATAATAGCATAGTAGTATTTAATGTAATAAGATCTCCTTTTAATCCAATTATTTTAGGATTATCATGGCTAAAAAAATATAATCCTCAAATAGATTGGAATTATCATAACTTTAACTTTTCTGTTAGTATAATCTAAGATCAAGTTAGTGAAGTAGAAGTACAGAAGTCTAGTACATCCAAACTTTTACTGATAGCTGTGAGAGCTTTCATGCATATTGCAAAAAAAAAAAATCATCTTTTGCTATATATACTATATTCATTTTTAATGGTGAAAAAATATCAAGTAGTATTCCTAGCCAATATCAAGAATTTCAAGACGTTTTTGAAAAGAAAAATGTAGATATTCTTCCAAAGCATCAACCTTATGATTGTTCAATTGATCTACAAGAAGGAGGTCAACCACCATTCGGACCAATCTATAGCTTATTGCAGAATGAGTAGGGTGCATTAAAGGAATATATTGATGAAAACTTAGCAAAGAACTTTATACGTCATTCTAAATCTCTAGTCGGGGCTCCTATCTTATTTGTGAAGAAGAAAGATGGATCTCTATAGATGTATGTAGATTATGGAGGACTCATTAAGATGACCATTAAAATTAGGTATCCTTTGCCTTTGATTTAGGATTGCTTAACCAACTCAATCAAGCAAAGATCTATACCAAAATAGATCTACGAGGAGCATACTACTTAGTTTGTATCAAAGAAGGAGATGAATGGAAGATTACTTTTTATACTAAGTATGGACATTTTGAATATAATGACATGCCTTTTGGACTTATGAATGCACCGGTCGCTTTTCAATATCTTATGAATAATATTTTTTGTGAGTTTCTAGATGATTTTGTCATTTATTATTTAGACAACATTCTAATCTACTCTAAGAACACAAAAGTATATGAACTTCATATTTGTTGCATGTTACAAAAACTTAAAGATATAGGATTATATGCCAAGTTAAAAAAGTGTGTATTCTATACTATTTAAATTGATTTTTTAGGATACATCATTTTCAATGAAGACCTTATGATGGATCTT